ACTGTCTACAGGGAGGTGCACACGGGATTTTGCCTCGGCCTGTATTTGGTTGTAGTGATTTTCTTTTCAGTACCGATTTCTTGACCACCAAGATTAGCCCTGAAAAGTTAAATACAGAAAAAGGAGAATTTAAATAATTTTAGTTTCCCTTAAAACATTTACTTCCACAGAAGTTGATCTTTCTCCTATATTGTTTTCATTGAAGACAGAAAAACATATTTTGTTCTTCACTGTTGAAGGTGCTCCTCTATAGACAAACAAATGTAAAAGCATGAAAACCACCACCCGAATCAGCACTATGGTCTATCAGCCCAGGAAACAACATTCAGTCCTAGTCTTCTTCCCCGATGACTATTCCAGTGGACACTACTCTCTAACTTTTCTGCTAAAAAAAAAAAAAAAAAAAAAAAAGCCTTGCCCTTTGACCCAGCATTTCAACTTTTGGAAATTTATCTTATGTGTAATTTACACTTGCCTATGTGTTTTATCCATTGTAGTAGTATTTGTAATGGCAAGACTGGGAACAACCTGAATATCCATCCATTGAGACTGGTTAAGTAAATGTTTACCGATTGGAATATTATACAGCTATGTGCAACCGCCTGGTGGAAAAAGGAGCAGAACCCCCCCAAATATGTATAATATGATTCTCTTTATATGAAAATTAAAACCTGTTAAAATAAAAACTAAACTATGTGTTAAGGATATTTACATAAGTGGTAAAACTATAAAGAAAAACAAGGGTCCAGCTGGTGTGGCTCAGTGGTTGAGCATCAACCCGTGCACCAAGGGGTCGCCGGTTCAATTCCTGGTCAGGACACATGCCCAGGTTGTGGGCCAAATTCCTAGTGGGGGGCATGCAGGAGGCGGCCAGTCAATGTTCTCTCTCATCGATGTTTCTATCTCTCTCTCCCTCTCCCTTCCTCTCTCTAAAACCAATAAAGGAAAAAAGAAAAAGAAAAACAAGGAAATACTGAAAACATTAGGATGGTGTTACTTCTAGAGAGAGGGCGGGGTCATTTCGAGGATGCTTCTAGAAGGCTGGAAATGTTCTATTTCTTGCCCTGGATGGTGGTTACATACGTGTTAGCTTTATGATTATTCTTTAAGCTGTATGTAAATATTTTGTGCACTCTTTAATATAAATGAGGTCTCTCACGATTTAAAAGCTAGTCCATCCAAACAGCGGAATACTCTACATTCATTTAAAAGAACAGCACAGCTCGAGATGCAGGGGCCTGGAATGGCTTTAGAGGGAAAAGAGCACAGTACAATGTGTTTTTATGCTGCCTTTTAGATAAAAGGAACAAGAGAACACATCGGCCTCTGTGCTTATGTGTGCTTACACCACCTCTAGCAAAACACTCGGGAATCAGGTAGGGGCGGGGGCCTGTGGGAGGGGACTGGGCAGCTGTTTCCCTTTCTGCACCTTTTGAGTTTTGTGTCATGTGCATATATTATCTATTCAAAAAACAACACAATTACAGACATTTATTTTGGCCTCTCATTCTCCAGAACCCCAAGATGTTTGGGTTCAAAAGAATTGCTTGCCGGTAAGAATGAGAGTCACCACCCAGGCCTGAGGCACCTGGAAACCCTCAGCAAGGTGGGGACCCTCTCTGGGCCCCATTTCCTCCACTGCAGGAGAAGGAGGCCAGGGTTCCACTGCTGTCCCATCGTCTCTCTCCACAGTCCTTTGTCCCCCTTTTCTGCCATCCACACCCTGTTCTCTCTTTGCTGCCTCACTTCCCTCCCTGGACACTTTCTCCTTTTTGTTTCTCTTTCCCTTTACTTGTTTCTGATCCTTGCTGCCTTTTCTCCTCTCTGCCCTTGCTCTCCCCGTGCTTGGCTTTGAATCTTCCCCCTTCCTCCCCCACCCTTTAGGACCCAGCTTCTCCTTGAGTTCCGGAAGGCGGGTTTCATGCCCCAGCTCTCCACACAAGTTGGGTGACCCTGGGCAAGTCACTGACCACTTGGGCCTCAGCGTAAGAGGTGATTATCTTGGTTATGTGAGATCACCAAGGATAGAAGCAGCCAGCACAGTGCTGGGCACTCAGAAAATAATTTCCCTCCTTTCAAGGAGCTGGTAGCTCTGGGGTTGTGATGATCCGACCCTTCCTGCTCTGTTTGAAATTGCTTAGAATCTGAGTCCTACTATTCCGAAGGCTTTGAATGACAGCAGGTCCCTGGGTATGTGAGGTGTTGGGAAGAGGCCTCTGGTGCCCTTTGCAGGGAGGGAGAGTGGGGGAAAGGATGGGGAGGGCTTGCTGGTGTGTGAACAGACAGGGATGCTCGCGTTGCACAGAAAGTGAGAGCCATTCTGCCCATTTCCAGAGATTTGGGCTGTGGATCTTTTGGGGAGCTTCCTTATTCAGAGTTCCTGGGTTTGGCCAGACCTGGGACAATGGAATCTCTTTCTTCTCCTTCGGTCTCCTGAGGCTTAGACCCACAGCATGGGAGCACCACACTCCCTGCCAACAACCAGCAGAGGCTCCTGGATGCAACCCAGCCTCCTTGGCTTGACACTCCAGGACAGGTTCTTGTCCCGTCTTGCTTCTAGCTACAAGCACGGAGGCTCACTGTTCCCTTGTTCTTTTCCACCACTTTGCCTTTGCTCAGCCAGACAATGCCCTTTCCCTTGCATACTTCCCTACCCGTGGTCCTGACCAAACTAATTGTTCCTCAATGTACCTAGCACCTCTCTCTTGTGCCCCCACCTCCCCAAAGAACTATACTATGTGTTTACATTTCTGTTATCTCTGTAGGCCTACGAGCTCCTGGAGGCCCAGGGCAGGCCTCATTCATGTTTGTGCCCAGCACATGGAATACCCTCAATAAAAAGTTTGTAATTAAATGAATGAGTTAGTAGATAAATAAACATGAAACAAAACAAACCAAGACAATAATGAATGAATGAAGACATCAAGCAGGACCTGGTTGATGGTCCATCATGGAGTAGGCCCACCTTTACACACATCCAGTTAACGGGGACTCTGCCTTCTCAACAGGGAAGTTGAGAGCAGGGATGGAACTGAGGCCAAGTCAGCCTGCTTCTCCCCTCCTTTTGGGCAGGGGCCTGGGTCAGGTTCCTAGGGTGTCTTGGGGACTTGTGACCTGGACCTTTTGGAAAGTCCCAAATGTGGATGCAAGAAATCAATGAAACCTGGCCGGTGTGGCTCAGTGGTTGAGCGTTGACCCATGCACCAAGAAGTTACCGGTTCGATTCCCGGTCAGGGCACCTGCCTGGGTTGTGAGCTCGATCCCCAGTAGGGGGTGTGCAGGAGGCAGCTGATCAATGGTTCTTTCTCACTTCGATGTTTCTCTCTCTCTCTCCCTCTCTCTTCTCTCTTTCTAAAAATCAATAAAAATATATTTTAAAAAATCTGTGAAGATGGAAGTGATCCAATGGCGAACCCAGACCTGGGGATCCCTGATCTTTATTGCCAGTGAAGAAACACTGGGGACCTGGGGTTCCACTGACAGGAAGGAGGTAGGCTAGTCTTACTGGGAAGGGGCTATACAGCAAAGGGTTGCACTACACAGGGGAGGAAGTTAAATGCTCAAGAAGTTCTTCCCCAGCAGAGTGGACTCACCAGAGATCGATGGATCAAAGCATGTCTAGCCCGACTGGTGTGGCTCAGTGGTTGAGCATCGACCCATGCACCAAGAGGTTGCCGGTTTGATTCCTGGTCAGGGCACATGCCCAGGTTGTGGACCAAATCCCGGGGGGGTGGGGGCATGCAGGAGGCTGCCAATCGATGTTCTCTCTCATTGATGTTTTTATCTCTCTCTCTAAAATCAATAAAGAAAAAGAATTAGAAAACAAAAAAAACATGTCCTCATTCATTCCTCTGCCCTCCAGACTAGATCCAGGAACTCTCTAAAGGCAGGGATCTTGTCCAATACTTTTCTATTTTCCAAGCACTCAGCATAGAGCCTGGAACTCAATATTGGTAGGATGCACAGATTAAAGAATGAGTGAGTGGATGGATGGATGAACTGATGAACACATGGGTGGATGGATGGATGGGTAGATAGGTAAGTGAATGGATGATTAGATAGATGAATGAATGGGTGGGGAGATGAATGGATTGATAGCTGGATATACAGTAGATAAACAAAGGAAATATAGACTGATGGATTAATAACATGAATGGGCTGATTTATGAACATATAGATGGCTAGATGGACAAGTAGATAAATAGATGGGTGAATGGATGAATGGACTAACAGATGAATGAATGAATGAATGAATGAATGAATGAATGAACAGTTGGATAAACTAATAGGTAAATGAATGCATGGCTCTGACTCGATGGATAAATGGGTGGATGGACAAATAGATAAACAAATGGATGGAAAAACAGATGAATGAATGGACAGACAAGACAGGTTAGTAAACTAGAAAGATTAGATTGATATTCAGGCATTGGAAAGGGGTGAGGAAGCAGAAATCTGGGCTGGGGTTAGAGCCTGCAGGGATTTGGAAGAAGAGGTGACATTCAGGACACCGGGAGGGGTGGTGGAAGAACTCAGGACCCTCCTTGGGTGGAAGGAAAGCCTGTGGGACTGCGGTGGGGAAGGCGAAAAGCACACTGTGCCAAGGACCCTGGAACCCAGCCCCAGGCTGGGTGGAACCTAGGGCTTGGGGACCCCAGGCCTAGCAAGAGCCAGGTCTGGCATCTGCAGGATCAGAGGCCTTAGCCAGCCAGGTTGACCCTAGAAAGTGGAGGTCCCAAGAAACCACCCCTCTCATCTCTGACCCCAGGGAAGTGACTGTTGGCCACATGGGGGTCTCAAGAGGAGTAAGCATTGTGGAGTGGGGGTTAGAGCCTCAGGGCAGCCCCGAGCAGCAAAGGCTTCCCTGCGGTAGAGCTAGCCTTCCTCCCTCCTACTCTCCCTCCCCACCCCAGCCCCCAAGGCCACCCCTCACAGTCCCAGCTTCCTCTGGGCAGGGGGCCTGGCCCCCACAGCCTCCCAGGCCAGCCCCTGGAGCACCACCTGCCCCAGCGGCCAGAGACTTCCTGTAGCGCAAGAGATTTATGCAAACGGGCTGGGGCGGTGATGTCACCCCAAGGGGACTATCTTCCAGTGGCAGGCCCTTCGATAAAATCAGGAACTTGCGCTGGCCCTGCGATGTCAAGGGAGGGGGCTCACGAAGGGCTCCTGTGGCTCGGGGGGCAGGCCTGAGCCCTGCGCCCGCGGAGTCAGTCCAGCCCCTGACGGGGCTTCCCATCCCAAGGGGCTCCGCACTGGCCCCCACCGAGACAGAAGACCTGACTGGCTTGCAGCTCGGCTGGATGTTACAGGCGTGCAAAATGGAAGGGTTTCCCCTCGTCCCCCCTGTGAGTACTGAGACTCCCCCACCAGCCCAACCTGTGGCCCTCAGACGTCCGCTGCCTGCCCGCCAGCCCGCCAGCCCACCGCCAGCCCACCGGCTGCCCTCCTGGCTGGCTATCAGTGGGAAGTTGGTGTTTCCTCCCTGGAGCTCGGGGCCTGAGACCCAGCGAGGGGGCCATTGGGTCCTCGGAGCATGCCCTGGCGGGCTGAGGGCCGGGCCCATGGTGGGGCTGTGATCGGTGGGGCCTGAACAGTTATTTATAGATGGGGCTTGGGTGGTAGGTTTGAGCTGCGGGGCAGGGTACTGGGCCGAGAATGGGGAGGGCAGCGACAGAGAGGCCGTAGAGGAGGAGATGGGGAGACTAGCCTAAGGGGAAGCTGGTCCCTAGGACAGTAAAGCCTTGAGAGCAGGAGGCAGCGGGCCAGCCGTCTAGGCCCTTGGCCTGGGCGCTCCTGGAGACAGGCTGCTGCAAGTCTGGGTCCCCAGAGCCCAGCATGGAGCCTGGCACAGAGGACATGGCTGTTGACCCAAGGGTCTGGGCTTAGGGCCCACAGGTCCCCAAGAGGCTAGGGCAGGGGCAGGGGCAGGGGCAGGGGCAGGCACCAGAGGTGGGGCAGAGACTAGGGCTGCAGTTAGGGTTGGGGCTAGGGCTGGGGATTAGGGAAAAGAGGGCGGGGGCTGGGGTTGGAGACTTCCTGGGCCGAGACTGAGGCTGGGGTAGGACCTGGAGTTATGGCAGGGCTAGGCTGGGACAGGGGCTGAGACTGGAGGTGGAGAAGCAGGACCAGGGACCGGAGGACAGGGCTCAGGCTGGGGCAGACCCGACTGCTCCTGCTCTGGGGCAACTGCAGCCGTAGGCAGGTGCCGGACTTGGGCCCCTCTGGAAGGATCTCTTTCCTTGTTCTCACTCCCTCCGCATGCCCGCAGGAGGCTGGGGAGCTCTGGTGGAGCTGGGAAGGGCTTGGCAAGGCCTGCCCACCTGACTCAGCTCTCCAGGCCCAGAGGCAGCTCCCTGCCCCTGCCTACCCCAGCCACCCACCCCTGAGCCCCAGGGAGGCACCACAGCCCCGACACTCCACTGCCAGGCGGCCCTGCCTGCAAACCCAGTGCTGGGCTCGCTGTCTGCTCGCTCGGCCACAGCCCACAGCCCGAACCAGCTAGCCCACCCTCCACCCTCCACCTGGCCCTGGCCCACCCTTCCCCCACCGAGGACCAAGAAGCAGGGTGCAGGCAGGGGGTGATGGAGGTGGTCCCTGGAAAAGCCAACTCTGTCTCAAGAAAGCCATAGACACCCTGCTCTGACCCTTGACCTCCAATCCCTACACTCCAGATGGAGAGGGGCCGGAGGCACATCTTGGGCTCCCAAACCAAGCTCTTCAGCCCCTCTCCCAGCCCAGGGGCTACTTGGAGGGGAGGTGGGCTCCCAAGGCAGCCCTGGCCCCCAACCCAAGCCCTGAGGGCCAGAGTAACTGTTGTGCAATCCTTGGGCACACACTTTGGGGTGGGGAGTGGCCTGGTGACTGCTGGGAAGACTATGTGTATGCATGTCCCTGTGCCTGTGCCTGTGCCAGTGAGTGACAGGGAGGAGGGGGAGGAAGGGGGAGGGGCAAAGGAGGGGGGGAAGGGGGAGGGGGAGGGGAAGGGAGGAGGGAAAGGGGAGGAAGGAGAGGTGAGGGGAGGAGGAAAGGGAGGATCCCAGTGAGGGTGTCAGGAGGAGGATGGATGAGGGGCCTGTGAGGTTCAAGGCTCTGGCCCCCCATGGCCCCCAAAGCCTCCCGGAGTGAGAGCTGTGAAATCCATGAGTGAGCAGCCACTGTCACCATGTCACCTGAGCATGCCTAGGGCCAGGCACAGGCTGTGAGAGAGAATGGGGCATCGGGTGGGGGCTGGAGACCACGGCAGGAGGACACGTGTGTGTGCTGCGAGGACGAGTGTGCAAGTGGAATGTGAGTGACTGTGGAAGGATATAGGCACGAAGGTGAGTTCAGTGTGCGTGAAGGCAAGTGTGTGGCTATGTGTATGAATCCGGGTGACCGTGTGGGCCTACAGGGTGAGTGTGGCCACACGTGTGCGTGACCTTCAAAGTGCGTGTGAGGTGAGTGTGAGGGGCCCTGTGGACGAGTTGCTATGTGGGAGAGTGGGGTGTGTCATGGGGAGTACGTGTACATTGTGCAGCTATGGGTGCATCCGTGTGAGTGTGAGGGCGAGTGTGTGACCGGGGCGGCCACAAGGTGTGAACGTGAGTGTGCAGCGCCTGCCTGTGAAGAGGATGGGGGGCAGTGCTCTCCCCTCAGCCCTGGTCCTCTTTGACCTCTGACCTCCAGGGCCCCTGTCACCTGTTTCTGCTGGAGCCAAGGCCCTGCTCTCCGGGTCCCCACTCCCACTCTGTGGCCTCTCCGGGTCCCAAGCAGACAGAGGCCTGATGCTGCCGCTTGTTCTGGGAGGGCAGTGTGGTCCCAACATACGAGGGGCTGCAACCTGGCTGGGGTGTCCCCGCCACAGTCCAGGTCCTGACGCCCTGCTCTCTCAGCAGCCATCGGAAGACCTGGTTCCCTATGACACAGACCTGTACCAACGCCAAACGCATGAATATTACCCCTATCTCAGCAGTGATGGAGAAAGCCACAGTGGTGAGTACGCCCTCCCCGCCCCACTTCCCCAGCCTGCCCTGGGCACCCGAGTGACTCCTGGAGCCTGGAGAGAGAAAAGAAGACGTGGTTTCCAGGGCTTCTCTGGAATTCTGAGACTTGGATCAAGCTAGTCCCTAAACCCCCACCCTCCCCCACCCCCACACCCCAGTCTCCATTTACTGAGCATCTTTGGTGCGCCAAGGCGAGAAAGGGGGTAGCCTCTTCCACCTTTATCTTCTTGTCCAATTGCAGTCTTTTCACAAATGAGGAAACTAGCTTAGGGAGCTAAGTGATGTGGGCACCGCTGGTCAGGGGATCCGGTCTGTCTGCTCCAGGTCCAATGCTTTCCGCTCTCCCCTCGCCCCAATCTCTCCTTCCTCCTCTGTTCTTGTCACCTTTGCCCTGAACTCCTGTCGGTACAGGCCGGCTCCCTGCTGTGTGTAGCCAGTGCTTCTCAACCTCCGTTGGCCCTTGGACCAGATGATTCTGTGTTGTGAGCCTGTCCTGTCCATTGTGGGGTGTCAGTGGTTCCTTCTCCCACTGGATGCCACTGTGGAATGGTCCCTGGGGGGCACAATGACCCCCAATTTGACAATTGTTGTTGGACCACAGGTGGCTCTGAGGGTCCCCTTATTTAGCGGAGGCTGAAGCCCCCCATTCGCTGGGCTGGGGAGGAGAATGGAGCCCGGGCTAGGCAATCCTTCTGTGTAGGCGTGTGTGTCCACCCAAAGGCCGAGCCTCGGTCCTAGGACAAATTCAGAGGCGGATGGAGAAGCATTAGATGTCGGGGACCTGAGCAGTGGGCTGCGAGTGGATCTTGGCATATTGATGGGGACACCCCTGAAATAAAGGTGAGGTAGCCTAGTTAATGGGTTCTCACTGGGGTTCTGAGACCTGGGCAGGCCAGACACTAGGGTGTCTGCAGCCCCAGAGGGACAGGCACACGGGGTGTGCCAGCTGAACAGGGTTTCACACTCGAAGGCCACACCTGGGGGCCAGTCACACCTGTAGCTCCGTTCTCAGGCACAGCTATGGCATCTCAACCTGGCAGCCACACCCAGGGGTGCCTCGTGCAGCGAGTCCTCACCTTGGGCTCTCATAGCTGATGCCAAACCGCATGAACAGCCTCACCTGGAGCTCACACCTGGCAACTATGATAAAGACCACGCCTGGAAGCCATGTCTTGGGAGGAGGTGGTGGATGTACCTCCAGGTCATGGCAGGGGGCGCACAGGCTTCTTTCAGAAAACCAGGGCTCCAAAGGCTTTAAAATATCCTCTTTTTCTTCATTTAAACTTACTTATAATTCTACAAGAAATGCATCTTCTCTCTGGAAAAGCCAGACAATTTAGAGAGAAAGTCTCCCTCATCAGCTCGATCCCCTGCGCCCCCAGCCAGCTTAGGTCTCCATGAGTCAGAGAGACAAGCACACACAGCTCGCTGTCAGGACCTGAGAAGGTCCCTCTGGGCTTGAGGATTGGCGCCCCCTGGTGGCTCCAGGCAGCAGGACGAGACGTGTCCAGACAAGCTCAGGGCGGTCTGGGACTGCTTCTAGCATAAGGGATCCTTTCGCCTGGAGCCCGACCCCGGCTCAGTTTCACTGGGTTTGGGTGCATTTCCTTTGGGTCTGATGAAGCCTCAGTTTTCCCTCCTGTAATATGTAATATGGAGGCGCTGTTCATATAGTTAGAAATGAGCTAGGCCTGGGGCTGGCTGATGGAGGGAGTACTCTAGAGAGAGCCCTTTCTTTCCTGGCCCAGTACTCAGACAGATCTCCTATATCTGGGTGGGGCTCTAGAAATGACTCCTGATTGGATGCCTGAGCACCCCGTTTGGGTCATGAAGGCCCAGTGTCTTCTTCAGAGACTCCTCCAGGGTCCTCATGTGCCCCAGCCCCTATTCCTCTAGGCATCTGAGCTGGCCCTTCTGACACCTGTTGGAAGTATTGTCTGAAGGTTCAAGAGACACCCCCACATCCTTCCCCCAGTTCCTGCATGTTCTTGGTCTATGTTCCAGGCAGTGAGGTTTAGTGAAAAGGCACCGGGACGGGACTTGGTCTACCGGTTCCATCACTGTGATGGGACCTTGGAAAAAGTGACTTAATCTCTCTGAGCCTGTTCCTCACCTATAAAACCGAGGACATGAAAATACCGTGTAGAGTTGTGACGATTAAATGAGATGATGCAGGTAATGTATGAGCTGGTGCACTGAGTACCAGGCCCAGTAAACGTTCAGGACACGGGATGGTAACTTCGCTGCACGCCCCAGGCAGCTGGAGAGCGAGAGAGGCTCAGAGGGCTCTGGGGCAGGTCAGCCAGCCAGCCAGCCAGCCACACATCCACCCAACACCTATTGTCCAACCCAGGCACTGTCCTGGGCACTGGAGGCACCAAGGTGAGCAACACAGACGAGGCCACTCCTCCCTGGAGCTATTTTCCAGTGAGGGAGAGAGACAGTAAACCAGCGAGGAGCAGGCTTGTAATCCTAAGTTCTTTGAAAAGCAGAGCAGTGCACTGCGGCGTGTGTGTGGGGGGCTACTTTGGTGGGGGTGGTCGGGAAGCCTCTGAGGAGGTGGCAGTTGAGTGGGCGTCTGAGTGAAGAGAAGGCGCGTGCATGCCAAGGCAGGCGTGGGCAGGGCGTCCTAGGCAGAGGGACAGAGTGGCGGAGAACATGGGGTGGGGGGGGGAGACAAAATGAAGCCAGGGGGCCTGCAGGGGGCAGACCACACAGGGCCTGGAGGCCATGATGGGAGTCTGTTGTTTGAACACAAACAATAGAAGCCATTGGAGGTTTTGAGCAGGAAAACGACATGATCAGAATAACCTTCTCTGTGTGTTTGGTGAAAATTTAAATAAATGAAAAATGTTTAATTATTAAAATAACAAATACTCATTGCAGAAATCTAAAAGACATAACAGCATGTCAAGTAAAATATTTCCTTCTTCCCAACCTCACTCCACACTGAGAGCACCTCAGCCTGTCCTCACATTTTATTCTACACATTTGATGCTGTGTTGTTTGTAAGTATTTGCGTACACACATACACAGTCTATGCATTCAAAAATGGAATTGTGCTATCATGCTGCTTGTTATTTGCTGTTTTTTACTTAAACTTACAGGCATTTCTTCATGACATACATAGCACATGAGAGATAGATTTAAAATATTTTTCCAGTATATTACAGTGCCATGTAAATGTATGCATGAACTAGAGACTTAGAACAATATTCCTTTATTCATTTCCAGACAATTATTGAGCACCTGCTATGTGTTAGGTGGAGATGCATCTGGCTTGATTTTTAAATTTGGAACAGTATCTCTCACTTGTGCCATGAAAGATGAGAAGTCAGCTTTCTAGTCATTCACAGACAGACACTTCTCCACACACTAAGATAATTATATAGTAACTTTTTTCTTTTTTTCTAGTTTTATTAATTAATTGATATATAACACTGTATACATTTAAGGTATACAGCATAATGACCACCCCCCCACACGCACACACACAGTGAAATGATTACCACATGTTAACATCCATCACTTCATATAGTTATAAAAAAAAAAAATGCCTTCCTTGTGATGAGAACTTTTAGATCTACTCTCTTAGCAACTTTTGAACATGCCGTACAGCAGTGCTAACTATAGTCGTCATGCTGTACATTACACCCCCAGGACTTACTGATCTTATAACTGGAAATGTGTGTCTTTGACCATCTTCAGCCAATTCCCGCACCACCTCACCCACCCCCACCTCTGGGAACCCCAAATCTGGTGTGTTTCTATGAGTGTTTTTTTTAAGATTCCACGTATAAGTGAGATCATGCAGTATTTGTCTTGCTCTGTACAGTAACTTTTGTTAAGTCAGTATCTGAATTTTCCATTATTATGACCATGTGACTGTTACAGCTGAGCCGCATGGTGTATCTTATTTGTGCGTTCTCGTACCCGCATTTCTGGGGGGTAGTGTAGCAAGGAGAGAAGAGCCCTCATTCTGGAACCAGGGTGCTGGGGGCACACCCCTCCTTTCCATTACTACCTGGGGTGGCCATGGGCAGGGTACGTCACCTCTCTGTACCTCAACTTTCTTATACTTCACAGGACTGTGTGAAGATGGAGTTACTGTATGAAAAATGCTTAGAACTGTGAATGTGATACTATAAGGATTTGTTATTCTTATCAGTAGTTTCCTAAGAAAGGGTGGGGGATAAGGTTTTGTGGTTGTTTGTTTTACCTCCTGTCTTTAATCTTAGCTCTCACTTGATTAGTAGCAGCTTGGCTGTGTGTAGAAATCTGGATTAAAAACCAGTTTTCCCCTTAGAAATTAAAAGCATTTCTCTACTATCTTCTGGTTACCAGTGGTTTTCTTAGGAAGTCTGATGCCTTTCCACGTCCTCTTTTATATATATATATATATATATATATATATATATATATATATATATATATATATATAATTTTTTAGAGAGAGAGGAAGGGAGAGAGAGAGACAAACATGATGTGAGAGAGAAACATCGGTCACCTGCCTCCTGCACGCCCCTAATAGGGATCAAGCTGCAACTCAGGCATGTGCCCTGACTGGGAATCGAACCGGACCTCTTAGTCCATGGGACAATGCTCAACCCACTGAGCCACACCAGCCAGGCGATGTCCTCTTTTTTTAATGTAATCTATTGTTTGTTTGGACTCTGGAAGTTTATAGTATCTTCTCTCGATATCTAGTAGCTCCACTGAATAAGCTTTTTTAATTAATTAATTAATTAATCAATTATTTAATTAATTTATTTATTTGCAAGGAAACATTTATGCCCTGGCTGGTTCGTCTCAGCGGTTAGAGCATCAGCCCGCGGACCAGAAAGAAAGAGAAAACATTTATTGAATCAATACTTTCTTGTTATTATCTACAAGCCAGCACTGAACTCGGTCCCTGAATAAGCTATTTAGAGGATTGTCTTGGCTGCTGTGTGGGGGCAGGGAGACGGCACAGGCAGGAAGCCACTGGGA